AGTACGGGACCTATTTGTCAGGTGTCGGCTAGAACAAATAGTAAATCCTTTTGGCAGCCTGGAGCTCCTTAAAGGGGGGTGAGACACTAAGGTCATCCTAGGCATGCAGCTTTGAGCTATAAGAAACTATGTTAGCGTTTAAGTCTTTTCATGCAGGGAGGGGGGAGTGGATGGAATCATTAGTGCCGAGCCAGTAAATTTTATAGGCCCAGGTGAGGCATAACTGAGAAGAGGGCTGAGTGTAGTCTACCTAGAGTTTGGTCAAGACGAGAATCTACCAATTCCCATCTAGAAGATGGGAGTACACATTATTTTTCTTCCCTCATAAAAGGAAAATACCTATTTCATCTGCCCCTTTTCCTCTGTCTTGAATGCATTTATGTGAGAGAATGTGATGCCCGGAGCTTCAGCAACTATCTTGAGATCATGAGGAAACAAACTAAGAGGTAAACAGCTAACTCCCTTAGGATGGTACTGTAGAAAATTAGGAAGAGCTTTGATTTTTAATGACATCATTGACTCATGGGTCCAAATCTAGAACCATCTATTTCCAGCCCCCCCCTTTTCTTTTCAATAAACTTTAAATTTTAGAATACATTTACTGAAAAGTTGTAAATATAGTAGAGAATTCCCATATACGTCACATCAAATTTCCTATTATTAAGATCTTACTACTGAACTGAGCAGGACCCTGTGAGGCACTCTCAGGTACAAAACCTGCTCCATGTCCCCAGTTTCTTAATTGTAGAAAAAAGTTTTAGTCTCCTAGGTCTTCCCTGAATTCCAAAGAGCAGGCACGAAGAAGTGAAGTGAACTCACTCAGTCGTGTCCGACTCTTTGAGACCCCGTGGATTGTAGCCCACCAGGCTCCTCCGTCCATGGGATTCTCCAGGCAAGAATACTGGAGTGGGTTGCCACTTCCTTCTCCAGGGGATCATCCTGACCCAGGGATCGAACCCGGGTCTCCTGCATTGGAGGCAGACGCTTTAACCAAAGAGCAGGCACAAGCAGTTACTAATAAAGGAAGTGAGGGGATGCAGAAGCAAAGGGAAAGTAGTTACATACCCATACCAACAGTTCAGTGATAAAAGAGTCCTAGTTCTCCCCAAGGAATATACACACAACTTGACAGGTATTTTTGAGTTCCTCTTTGAGAACAAAGACTCCAAACCTACCCCCTTGGGTGGAGGACTGCGACTACATGCTGAGCGCAAGCACAAGAACCTAGACTGGATGGAACCACAAAGCAGATGACTGAGATTCCTGAAATGCCGCCGTGTTACCTCACCACCCACCAGTCAGAAGCAAGTCATGAACGCTGCAGCTCTCACCCTCAAATGTTGCCTTTAAAAACCCTCCCCTGAAAACCGCTCAGGAGTTAAGTCTTTTGTGCCTGAGCCACCCATGCTACTTGCTGGATCTTGCAATGATACATGCTGTACTTTCCTTCACCACAACAAAGTGTCATCAAATTGGCTTTGCTACGTTGTGTGTGCAACCAGGCTCAGTTCGGTAATGCTGTGACCGTACATTTATTGTAACTAAGCAGAGATGATCACTTTGCTGACAAAGGTCCGTATAGTTGTTGACTAAAAAATATAGTCACAACCTGAAGGTAGAGTTATTTGGTGGGAATGTTTAGGACTCTGAGCCTGGGAGACAGCATCTCCATAGCTCTGAGAAAACTGCTCCAAGGGGGCAGAAGGGGAAGTTAGGCTATATACAAGTTTGCAACAAAGGGAGCAGGCAGTCGGAACATCAAGATCAGGTATCAAGGAATTTTGCGTTCTATGTGTGGGAAGATGCAAGCCTCTAGGCTCACTGAATTTATTCCTTTCATACGCACCTCAGCTCTCTGGGGCCAATCTTGTTTCCTACTTCACCTTGTTTCTTGCATTGCCCCAGCTCCTCAGCAATCACTGTTCGGGGTGGCAGCAACTGCTGGATCCCAGTTTTGGGAGCCCTCATTCACATTTGGAGGCCAGAAGTCACTGATGGCTGTGACATTTCTTATTTATTAATATGGCAAGAGATATTTTCATTTCACATAGTCAAAGCTGTGGTTTTTCCACTAGTCACGTACGGATGTGAGAGTTGTACCTAAAGAAGGCTGAGTGCTGAAGAATTGAGGCTTTCAAACTGTGGTGTTGGAGACTCTGGAGAGTCCCTTGTATAGCAAGGAGATCAAACCAGTCAATCCTAAAGGAAATCAACCTGGAATATTCATTTGGAAGGACTGATGCTGAGGCTAAAGCTCTAATACTTTGGCCACTGGATGTGAGGAGCTGACTCACTGGAAAAGACCCTGATGCTGGGAAAGACTGAGGGCAGAAGGAGAAGCGGGCAACAGAGGATGAGATGGTTGGATGGCATCATAGATGCAATGGACATGAGTTTGAGCAAACTCTGGGAGATGGTGAAGGATAGGGAAGTCCAAGGGGTCACAGCAGGACACGACTTAGTGACTGAAGAACAACAACAAGAAATAACACTGTAACCACAGTATTAAGTTCTGTGTTTTTGTGGATTTCACTAGTTTTTTCCTCTGATATCCCCTTTCTATTCCAAGAGTCTCTTCAGAATGCCACAGTACATTTAACTGTCATGTCTCCTTAGCTTCCTCTGGTTTGCGACTGATTCTTAGAAAGCTTACTTGTTTTTCATGACCTTTTTCAGCTTTTAGGAGTATAGTCACCCCTTGGTATCCAAGACACCACTTTGGAGGCTGGCATGCTAGGATGTTCAAGTCTGTCATATAAAATGGTCTAGTATTTGCCTAGGCACATTCTCCCATATACTTTAAATTATCTCTAGATTACTTATAATATTTAATACAATGTAAATGCTATGTAAGTGTTACAAGTGTATAACAAGTTCAAATTTTGCTTTTTGAAACTTTCTGCTTTATTTTTCTCTAATATTTTGTATCCACAGGTGGTTGAATCCATAGATACAGAACTCATAGATATGGAGCACTGGCTGTATTGGCCAGACAGTTTTTTGGGGGGTGGGGAGGGTTTCTGATGTATTATCAAGGAAGAACTGAGTTCAAGTTCATACTGCTGGGGACACTACAAATCAATAAATTGAGAAGTGAGGTTTTGGGGCAATGAATAGTGACTATCTGGAAAGTCAGCAGGCAGAGAAGATGGAGGCCTAGTGTCCTAGGGGACCATCTTACTCGAGTTAGAATTCAGGCTTCTTTTATACTAAAAGGGGAGGGGATGTATCTGCTTGTTGCAGATCTCTTGGTACTTGCCGGGACTTGGAGGGGGGAGATAATCCTTTGTTTTTGCAGTTGTGCATAACCTTTAACAAATTCAGCAATTTTATCTCTACATAAAGGAAACATGCTATGCCTTTAAAATTCAAGCCTGGGAGACAGGGCCTTGGGAAAGGGCTATTATGTATATTTCAGGCTATGGACAAAATTCTTTCTCTGTTCAACAACACAGAAGTGCAGAGCCAGCATGACTAAGCACAGGCAACAATACAAACACACTTAAAGGAACACACCCAACATAAAACCAGGTTGTTCTTCTGTTAGTGAACTAAGGTTATGGGTTTTGGAGGGTAATATCACAGAGGTCAAGTACCCTTCCTATAGATGGGAAACCTGCAATCAACATGACTTATCACTGCTATTATTCCTTATTACTCAGCCAATGAAACATTGGCCAAGTTTCTCCACTGTAAAGTTCCTTCCCCTCTTTTCCATACTGGGCTCTTTTGGAGGCTAGCTGATAAAGAGGGTGGGGTGGGTGGGGCTCGGATCATGAACGCATTGCAAAATTCAGACTTAAATTGAAGAAAGTAGGGAAAACCACTAGACCATTCAGGTATGACCAAAATCAAATCCCTTAACGATTATACAGTGGAAGTGACAAATAGATTCAAAGGATTAGATCTGATGGAAAGAGTGCCTGAAGAACTATGGACAGAGGTTCATGACATTGTACAGGAGGCAGTGATCAAAACCACCCCCAAGAAAAAGAAATGCAAAAAGGCAAAATGGTTGTCTGAGGAAGCCTTATATATAGCTGAGAAAAGAAGAGAAGCTGAAGGCAAATGAGAAAAGGAAAGATATACCCACTGAATGCAGAGTTCCAAAGAATAAAGAGGAGAGGAGAGATAAGAAAGCCTTCCTCAGTGATCAATGCAAAGAAATAGAGGAAAACAGTAGAATGGGAAAGACTAGAGATCTCTTCAAGAAAATTAGAG